AAAAAAAAAAAAAAGGAAAAAAAAAAACAGTATTGACATTAAAAATTGTACAGAGAAATATATATATATATACAAAAAAGAAGAAAATTTTAAAAGATTTAAAAAATGTAGAGAGAATTAAGTAAATCCTACAGAGTGATTAGAAGAGCTCCTGGCATATGTAAGAATTTATTTTTTTGTTTGTTTTTTAACTTTGTGGTAAGAATTTAAAGTTTAGTTCCTCCCAACTTTCCTTGCCCACCTTCCTCAGGCCTCAAAAGAAATACAGGGAGCTAGATATGTTACCAAAAAAAGCCTAATAGATTAAAAAATACATATACACAGTTGAGGGGAGGCAAATTGATACAACCTCTCAGGAAAGCAGTTTAACAATATGTATCAAGAACCATGCATTATATCCCCTCTGACCTAGAAATTCCACTTTCAACAATTTAGCGTAAGTAAATGATGGATATTTGCAAAAATTAATGATAGGGGTCTTCCTCACAATATTTATAACAACATGTAATAGGGAAAACCTGGAAATGCATTCCAGGGAACTGGTTAAATTATTGGTCATCCTTATAACGAAACACTCTGCAACCATTAAAAGTTATTGTAGCAGGGCCGGTCCGTGGCTCACTCGGGAGAGTGCGGTGCTGATAACACCAAGGCCACAGGTTCGGATACCATATAGGGATGGCTGGTTCGCTCACTGGCTGAGCGTGGTGCTGACAACACCAAGTCAAGGGTTAAGATCCCCTTACCGGTCATCTTTAAAAAATAATAATAATAAATAAATAAATAAATAGATATTATAATTTTGTGTGATCTCAATTTATCTAAAGCTTATACATGTGGCAAGTTTGGGAAAAAGAAACATCTAACTTTAAAAAGCAGTGTCCTTCACCATGCCAGTGCCTTGGGGCCTGCCCGGGGACTGGAGGCATGTAGAAGGGGACCAAACCCCCTTCCCACAAGTAGGCACACCGCGCAGCAGCGCCTCATGGCCTGCCCAGGGACTGGAGGTATGGAGCCAGGTACCAGACACACCCTATAACCAGGCGCACCGTCAGTACTAAGGAGCATGCCAAAAACATCACCTCCATGTGGGTGGCCCACCACAGCCACCACAATAACCATGGCTGCTGTGAAAGCAGCTAGACACTACAACCACCACGCAGATGGTCCTCCAACCACTGGAGTTTATTGACACAAGGAGAGTCACCAGCAGAGAGAAAGAAAAGAGGATGTCTCTCTTCACAAAGCCCATTTCGAGTGACAGAAGAAGCATCTGCTCTATGATAATATTGGGGGACCTGATCACACCTCTCAGCATTGGACAGATCATCTAGTCAACAAACAAACAGAGTAACCCTTATTCTTTCAGAAGGAGAGAAGAAATCTAGGGTAATTAGAGGGGGGAGGGGGAAGGGAGAGGGGGATGGGGAGAGATTGGACAAGGGGCATAAAGAATAATTATGATTCGTAACAATATGTATGCTAGTAATATTGATTTGATCAACATATCTCAATGTTGAACCCCCAAAATATGTATAATCAATTTTGATTCAATAAATAAAATATTAAATAAATAAATAAAAATTTGGTAGAATTCAAAAAAAAAAAAAAAAAAAACAGTATCCTTGGCTGGCCAGTCAGCATACTGCTGATAACACACCAAGGTCCAGGTTTCAATCCCAGACACCAAAAACAAAAAAACAAAACCAAAGAGCAGTATCTGTAATCAAGAGCAATTGAAATGATCCCATTATGGGGCCGGCCCGTGGCTCACTCGGGAGAGTGCGGTGCTGATAACACCAAGGCCCCGGGTTCGGATCCCATATAGGGATGGCCGGTTGGCTCACTGGGTGAGCGTGGTGCTGACAACACCAAGTCAAGGGTTAAGATCCCCTTACCGGTCATCTTTTAAAAAAAAAAAAAAAAAAAAAAAAACGAAATGATCCCATTAAGAGAAAAAAAGGACGATAAACTGTCCAGTGAGCCAAGGAAAGGTCGGCTTTCTTCAGCCTCTAGAAACCTGGTGTGCCATCCTACAGCGGGCCACCTTCCTAGAAGGGTTAAGTGTAGAGATAGCTGAAACAAAAGTTTTATGGAGGTAGCGATGCCCTCCAGTTTTGTCTATTCACATATTTGTTTGTTTGTTTGTTTGTTCTGCAGCTGGCCAGTACATGGATGGAACCCTGGACCTTGATGTTACCAGCCCCACACTAACCAGCTGAACTAACTGGCCAGTCCTCCTTTTATTATTATTTTGTATGCTGGTTCTAAATTCACTCAATAATCTGCTAATGAGTCAAAACCTTTTGTTGAAGTTGGAAGGTCGAAATCTGAAAAAATGCCTTTGAAGACACTTAAGCCTTTTCTGAATTATATTGGCATTTTAACTTGGAATATTCAAGGAATTGCTGTTTTTAGCTGTCGAATCAGAACATCAGCTATCTGACCACAAACAAGCTATCTCCTACCTCAAAGCCTATTTGCTCATCTGTGAAACGGAGATGATAATGTGGATTAGATGAGAGAGCACACACACAAAATACTTGACAGCATATTTTAACTTAGAAAATGCTCAATAAGTGTTTATTAAAAGGACAAACAAGCCAAACCTTGTGAGACCAGTGCTTCTGTGTGAGCATGCCTTGGGAAGTGGAGATCAATCAAATCATGGAGTCCCAACTCCTCGATGTAGCATCCCAGGGCCTTCTGGATCCTGCCTAACACCACACCTCGCTAGCTACCTTAACCTCCCACTCTCACATCCCTTCATCTCTCAGACTGGACTGTCTATGCTTTGTCATCTAGCATTGCTACCCGCTTCTGTGAAATCTTTCTTGCTTTCTGCAACACGGTATTCTATGCATGCCACCTGTATAGAACATGTCTTGTGGGTTTGTGACTACGTCTCACTTACAGTACTATAAGCTCCTCCAGGGCTGGAGGCCTAG